ACTCCTACTCCTACTCCTACTCCTACTCCTACTCCTACTCCTACTCCTACTACTACTACTACTACTACTACTACTACTCCCTTCTACTACTACTACTACTACTACTACTACTACTGCTACTACTATACTACTGCTGCTACTACTACTACTACTACTACTACGACTACTAGTACTACTACTACTACTACTACTACTACTACTACTACTAGCTGTACAAACCACAAGTATATCGTTTATGCTTCTGCGCGTGTTCTCCACAATTTGAGCAAGCGGCCATACTTCTGCAAGCCTCTGATGCTAGTCACCATCGCCTCCGGAACAGTGCATGCACTGCAGAGACGCAGTGACCTTAAGCCCACAACTTTTGCTGGACTGTGATTGCGCCGGAACGCTAACACCCCCTCAGCCCCCCAGAAACATTGCAAAGATGGACGGATCTGGTCCAAGATAACCAAAGCCTCTTGGGCTGCCCTGCCTAAGTTCTGCGTCGGCTTAGGGTTGGTATATAGAAGTTGAGATATGGAGGGTTTACGGCTATTGAGGGTTTACTGCTTCACCTTATAGGTGAGAGGGCTCCAAGGGGGTTGTGGGCTTCAGGCCTGTGGCGTTTGGGGTTTGGACTTAGGCATGCATCTCAGTATGTGTTTTCAGCCCTTTGTCAGCACTCCAACCTCAGGCTGATGGTGGGTTCAGAGTTCCCAAAACAGGTTCGGGGGTTGGTTTGTAATGGAGTTTGGGCTGGGCTAGTGTTCAGGGTTTTAATGCCGTTTACACGGTCTAAGTTTCCAAAAACCCTTTGTTGAAACCCTAAACCCTAAAGCCGCTTTCTCTGCAGGGCTTACACAAAACCCGCAAGCTGAGCTCTTTCGGCTCCCTTTAATGGTTTCAGGGTTGCAGGTTCAGGCAGAGTTTAGCCCCGGCTAGGTGTTTTTTCCCTCTCGCATTGTTTAGCCGGGTTTAGGTTTTGGGGTTTGGGGCTTATGGGTTGAGGACTTAAATTTGATTGCATGGGGCATTTTCTTGGAATCACAATATATGACTACGCAGTAGGAAGTGGATTCCATGTTGCTCGTCCTCGAAGTCGGGTAAACCCTAAACCCTAAACCTCAGCGCGCCACTGTATACTGCATCTTCAGCCCTGGCCCTACACCTTATAAGCCTCAATCCACAAAGCCCTGAAGCCGCGTATCCGAAACCCTAGACACTACCTATCGTCTCCGTTGTAGTTCCTTTTGCTGGTTTAGCCAGCCTTATATGTAGGATTCCGAAAGGTAACCTAAAACAGGAACTCCAATGGAGCCTGCCGGTAGAAATCCGAAAGCTGGAAGAGTGTTGAGCTCATCACAAGCCCGTGAGGGCAAGCCTATACCTCTTGGCTACTCAAGGTACTTAGCCTATAATCAGGGGTTCATGATTGTGTTGCTCGTACTACTGCTACCTGGTACCCTTTTTACACAGGCTTCATTGGAGCTCGACCAGCCAGGTTCCCCGCAGGTAGCCTAAACCCTAAACTGTGGCCCCTGGTAGCAGCTACCATCTTTATTTACCAAGGCTTCTTATATGCAGGTTGGGAAGGCCTCTTTCCCAGAACAACCTTTCTTTCGACTTTGTCAATCATCCCCTTCTCTCGGCAAGTTGTGCCTTGTAGACGTCAGCGTCCTCATGAAAGCCATCATCATGTCGGTCTGTGCCATCATAGCTTACGAGTAAGATGCCTGGCTTCAGCGGCGGTGTGCTCCAGCTCACGGCTGTAAAGCAGGATTTCAATTTCGGGCTTTTTTGCATCCAGGACTCTTGCAAGCAGCCTGGAAATTGTCATTAAAGAGGTCTACCTGGCCTGTGCCCGATGTGCTGCACTGGCATATGGCCCAGATTGGTCAGACTCTAGACTGCGTAACCGTCATAATTCGTAAATGCCATGAACCTACGCCACAATGGCAGTTTCAGAGACAAAGGGCCCCCATGTTGCAGGAGGATCCTTGCATTAAGCAGTTTTGACGCTCAATGTCTGCATTGGGGCCCCAGGCTTTAAGCCTGCCTGAACCCCAATAGCATGTAGAATAATAGCCTTTTATAGGTGTTGGGCCATTTGTTACCTACTTTTGGTGGTAAGGGCAAACCCGGTCAACCTTAAACAAGATTTTAAGGGTGCTTGCTTGTTTGTTTAAGGGGCTCCTCTGAGGATGTTGAAGGGATGCTTTCTTGTTTTTAAAGGGCTCTTCTGGAGACTTTCAGGGTGAAGGCGTTAAGGGTTTAGGGGTTTAGGTGCTTAGGGTTTAGGGTTTCGGGTTTAGGGTTTAGGGTTTAGGGGTTTAGGGGTTTAGGGTTTAGGGTTTCGGGTTTGAGAGAGAATGCGACAACACCTCGCTGTTTGACTTGCAGAAAGCAAAGGCAAGGCACACTAACGGCCATAGGGTCTACTTCAAGGATCATGGGACTTAGTAACTAGGGTTATAATTGAGGCAACTATACTTATTATAATTACTTATAACCCCAATTAAGGTACTTACAACCCTGCTTACTAAGTCCCATGATCCTCCAAGTAGGGACTACGGTGCCCAAGCAGCCTGCGTCTTCGTAGGTCCCCTCCGCGTCCCAACAGCAATCCTGGGCACTGCTGATTTAGGGCCCACGTGAAGCTGAGAATTTAGCACTGATGGGTTTAGGGTTTAGGGTTTTCCTACGGTTGTGGAGTTTGGTATATGGTCAAGGTTCAAGTTTATGGGCTGGAGCAAACGTTCGGAGAGGTTGATTAACAGCACGGATGTTGTCGGTCTCACGAGGGCCACACTGGACCACATCCCGAACCGTGCAAGCATGAAGCTACCTATACTCTCCCTAAACCCTAAACCCTAAACCGATGCAGTTGTGTTTTGGTCAAACAGCTTTACGGCTAGGATTCTCTAGCAAATAATAAGGCAACCAGAAACACATAAACTCCCTTGGCGACTATCCTAAAACCGAAACCGTACATTATGTAGGGCTCTCGTTGGCAACTCGCCAATTGCGACTCAGCTTTGTCGCTACTGCGACTGGCCCAAGATACCCCTGCAGAAGCACACCTCATACCTGGACCCTCTAAACAGCTTCCTCTAAGGGCTCCCTACTACTATTTCCGTATACACGCCCTTAAAAGATAGGTTGTTCGAGGTGCAGGTATGCCCTGCTCGAAAGTTTGGTCCTTCAAAGAGCCTTGGAAAGACAAAGCTACCATTCACACTGCGCTTTGAACAAGATGCATACTTTTCAATAGCCCCTCGGTAGTATAGGGGCCTTAAGAGTAAGAACAGAGTTTTGACACGGTGTCTTCGATGATAAAATGTAGGACATTCATAGCAGGGACTCTTCAGGGAACCCGTAGCCAAAAACTGACAAACTGCAGCCAGAGCTCCAGCCAAATGTGCTTGCCCAAATCGCGCAGCTGTTCATACGAAGGGTACTCCCCACACCTTGTCTGTCACGGTTTCGGGTTACGGTGTAGGTTCTAAGGTTTATGGAGACTGTGGACATCCAATGCTTCAGAAAGGGTAAATCGAGGGATTCAGGGCTTGAGGATGGTGCTGGTGTACCTAGAAATGCTGAACGACCAAAGTTCCCCTTAAGGCGAAATCAGCTTCGAATGCTTCGTCGCAAACACACGTCATGCACTCCTCTACCACACGGCTTGCTGTGTAGAGCTTATAGGGCCTGTGGGGCCTTGGGTTCATAAAAGTAATCTTAACCCTATAAAGCTACATTGTGCCTGCGCAGCGGCACAAACAACGAACCATGGATGCGCTGGCAAGTATACTTCGTACTCGTATTTAGTGACTACCCATGGGCTCCATTATACTTCCTTCTTGTGGTTTTTCATTTAGGATCCTAAGAGGTAATCCCAAAAAACAACTACAATGGAGCCTATACGTAATCATTCAGCAACCCCCCCCCAAGGAGTCAAATGCAGTAGAGTCTCTCCAGGAAGTCATCGACAGACACCAGACACAAGGGGAACTGGAACTTCTCAAGGACTTCCTGAGATTAGGGTTTAGGATTTATAGGGTCTACAGGGTTTAGGATCTATAGGGTTTAGGGTTTAGGATTTATAGGGCTTGGGGTTTATATGGTTTAGGGTCTTGGATTTCTAGGGTTCAGAGACTAGGATTTATAGGGTTTATAGGGTTCAGGGTTTAGGGTCTAGGATTTCTAGGGTTCAGGGATTCGGATTTATAGGGTTTATAGGGTTTCGGGGTTAGGATTAATAGGGGTTAGGGCTTTGGATTTATATAGGGCTTAGGGCGACGATGGATGCTCCGCTTTCGTGTCGGGGCTCCATAGCAGCCCACAGCCCCAAACCCTAAGCTTTAACCTTAAAGCCTAAAGCCCTAAAACCTAAATAAACTCAACTCTAAACTTTACTTTCAAACTTGGAGCTTAAGGTTGCGCAACCCTCCTACTAGCTGCTAGTATGACAGGAGAGGCTTCGACTTTGCCGGACCTCAAAGAGTTTAGGGTTCGAGGGTCAGGGCTTTCGGTTTTTGGTTTATCAAGATGGGCCCTAATTCAACCCCAAACCCTGCATTAAATATGGATGCACACCCTCAGGCTTAAAACCCTAACCCTCCAGGCTCCGCGGCCCGGTCGTGCCGACTGTTGCGTGTCTAGGGTTTAGGGAGGTCAGATTCCCGTCGTCTTCTCGGAATCCTAGCGTTTCCCAGGGGGATGCTTCCTGCTCAGGCGTCTACACCCACAACCGTAGGACTGAAAGTCCCCTTTTTTTAGCGTTTAGGATTGAGGGTATTTAGGGTTTAGGATTGAAATTTCAGGGTTAAAGTCTTGTCTTCGCAGCCTTTGCCCTGGATTGACATGTAGCGGAGATCAGCTCAGTGCTTCTGACCATGAATGTTCGAGATCGCCGTTTCTCAACAGGCGCATCCCATGGCCACTTCAACTTTACTAATTAACAAGCTTGTTCCAGGAGCCGTGCCTTTGTAGCAAGATGGTCACCTTGAGCCCTCTATAGCCAGCCCTGTATGTTTAAGCCTTCTAGTGCTATGCACAACAAACAAACCGTACAGCTTACAGGCTTTCTGAGGCTTCTCTTGCGATGAGAGTTATGTCAAGGCCTGGGTGAGGGCTTGGAGCTTATGGGTTTTAGGAGACAGGTCACGGGTCGTACTGTTGAACCCCAAACCCTAAACCCTACCCTACCTAAACCCTGAGCCCTACGCCCAAGCTTGCAAACCAACTCCGTCCTTTGCACGTGCACTGATCAGAAGGCCAGCAAGGCTTGCCAACGCTGCTGCTGCTGCTGCTGCTACTACTACTACTACTACTACTACTACTACTAGTAGTACTACTGCTAGTATTCCTACTAACATTTTGTCCTCACGGTTGTTGTTAATTCTTAGTGTTATTGTTATTGTATGTTGTTGTTACTTACTACTAGTTTATTGTTGTTGTTGCTGTTGTTGTTGTTGTTGTTGTTGTTGTTGGTGGTGGTGGTGGTGGTGGTGGTGGTGGTGGTGGTGATGGTGTTGTTGTTGTTGTTGTTGTGCTTCAATATCGCACGGTTGTTACCCAGTGGTTCTTGCAATGGGCTTCGAAAACCCACTACCGCGACCTTCGCCATCAGATGTCTGCTTCCAGGGGCTAACAGCGCATTGCTAAGCGCACAAACTGCACATGCTCCAGGTCCTCATTCGGTAATACACCCGGCATTACCTCAACAGTAGCAGTTCCAATGACCAGGCCCATTTCCGAAACTCTGCATCACAGTCTTCCTCGTGCTGCTTGCTACGCAAGCCCACGTTAGACCTTCACAGAGACACCGGCGTTGAAACCCTAATTCGAACGGCCGAGCCGCGATTGAAGCAGACACCGCCTTGGAAAGAACGTCGCTCCGGTATCGCTGGAGCTTCAACTTGTCCAGGGTACGCCGCCGCAAGCTGGCGATGACCTAACAAGTACTTGGAGGTTCATGGGCAGTT